ATTTCAGTGTTGACAGCAATTTCTGTGTGCTGCATCCAGTTATGTCTTCCCCAAACATGTTTCTGATTATTTAATAATTGTCATCCAGTATTAGATACTAAGGAAGTTAACAGCTTGCCACAATATCAGAGGCTGTGCTCATAATTACCATTATCATCACAGTTTTTGGAAAATATGAAAAGAGTATAATGTAGCAGATATGTGAAACTTTCAGAAAATATTTACTTTACTAATTAGACAAAATAGGTAACCCAGGCACAGCAACTGGATTCACACAGCATAACAACTCATGAGTCATGCTAGGTTGCCGAGTTGTCCAAACCCAGACTGCTTTCCATAGGGTGGCTTTCTTTGGGACAAGAAGCCACTGACAACCCATGGCTTGTTCTAAGGGTTGTTGAAACCATGCTAGGTTGTGTCATCTGGATCTGGTAGATCAATCCCATCATAGCTTATGGGAAGCAGAGAGTGAGCCAGCCAGCAAGAGTGCAAGAGTGTCCTTGCACTCTAGGAATCTTGACCATGTTGCCAGCTGTGGCAGTTGCTCTATCAATGCTCAGGCAGCACTTTGAACTGTGATTAACTCTTTTATTTTATTTTATTTGGTTAGGAGAAACAGAAATGTGTGTAATTATAATAAATTTCATTTTTGTTTTGGTACTTTGCAACTGTGCACCTGTCATGTGTCCCCTTGAAGACTCCTCTTTGGAAGAGGAGAACTTACCTCTTGGCAGAACTCCAGTTCGGCAAGTGGAGAAAACCTGTCTGTGGCTGAGAAGCCTTCTCCCCTAGGGAAGTTCAGGACACAGCCAACAAGACATCTGCAGCAAAGCCAGGAGCCTCCTGACAAACCCTCTATTTTCTGCCCTTGCCTTAGGAGATCTTGCAATCAGAGCAGACTGGAGGAGGAATCATGGAGACATCAGCTCAAGAGGAAGACCCAGACACTCCCTCATCGCAGAAGTGCAGCTGCAAGCCAAGGCCCCAGTACAGTAAAAAGCTCTACGCAGGAGCAAGGGGTTCTGTGCAACAGCTGACCCTCTGAAGAGGTGGGGTAAATGAGTGGCTCAACCAGGCCAGCATAAAAGGCTAGCTTGGGAGAAGAACTGACATTGTGAAACAATGTACCACAACTTCTGCTTATGCTATGCTTGCTTAGCAGTCTGAAATCTCAGGCTACTGTGTATTGCCTTTGATGACAGATTAATGTCCTAAATTTAGCCTTCCCACAATAAACGCTTCTTTGCTTATCTTGGCTCTTGATTTATGACTTGCCAGTACCTGACCTAAGACTGTTTCAATTCCACTCTTCATTATTACCTTCTGTACCTGTGGCTGCCTAAAATGTGAAGTCTTGCCTGGCCAATGTCCTGGTTGGTGTCTGCTGTCAAAGAGCAGTAGATGATACCCACAGATATTGACCAAGCAAGGCTGAATACAGGTTACCTTGCCTTTGACAACTGCCAACTGGTGAGCTGTCAATTGCAAAGCCAAGTGTCAAATGGGGATTCTGAACCCCAAAGGAGGGAATATCCTCCAGTTTTCAAGTATTGCTATGACAGTTCTTAGTACCTTCTACTTTTTCCACACTTCCCAAAGACTCCAGACACCTCAGAAAAGGGATTCCTACATCCCATCCCTTTTTCTGAGCACTCTTTTGATAGCTGCAATTCTTTAAAAAAAACTTATCTAGCAAAATGGAGCATTTTGTCAGATAACTGTCATCACTGCACTAAAAAACACAAAGAACAACATGGCTGTGATCTGAACAGGGAGAGGCACACAGGTTCTGCCATAGGAGACCCTGGAATACTAGCAGAGGGGAAAATAAGTGGGAGAGCAACCCATGGTAAGCTCATAAGTTTGTAATGTATCAAACAATGTTTGTTTTGCAAACAGCCCACACTTTGTAGCACACTCAAGGTTGGGTTGCCATGTCATATGAATGCACACTGTGTGGTCATGAAAGGAAATAAAAGAACAAATATGGGAACCTATGAAGTTATCTCTTAAGTTCCTATTCTTTAAAACAAGATGGCTCCTGACATTTTACAAACATCAAGGCATAAAGTCTTGAAGTCAGGGACAGGCAACTTCAGGCATAACTTGCTCTAAAAGGAGACATAATAAGAATTATCATGAGTACAATTCTCTTTTTCTCAATACCCTGACTCTTTTTTCTAGTTTGTCCAAAACCCGAACAAGCACCAGAGAGCCACATTTGTGGCTTTAACACTAGCAACAATAATCAAATTGTTCCAGGATCTGTAAGTATTTGGAAATATGCATATTTCCATCTCATATATTGTTTGAAGACAACTCAGTGCAGCAGCCACTGCAGAAAGCAATTGGAACCATCTTCTATTAAATAATTCGCTGCTCCCCACTCTGCAAGAGACCTACTGTAGCAAACATCCTGTGACAAATACTGTGCTGCTTCACCTTACTCCAAGTGCATGCACACACCTTCCTTTTTCTGAATCATGGTGACTCCTTTTGAAACGCATTGTCTATATTTGCACATCCATTTATTAACTGGAAAAGTGGCAGTGAAATGCAAAAGTAAAATCTGTGATGGCTCTATTAAAGTTGTACTTTTGTATTTCATGAGCATTTAATCTCTATTTACACTCCCGCTTATACCTGGCAAAATGCTTCATGCACCTGATGAAGTGGATTATAGCCCCCATATACTTACTAGCTTTTAAGATGCTACAACAGTCCTTTGTTTTTGTTACAAAGAAGACTAACATGGCTATCCCTCTGAAAATAGCCTTTTATTTTTCTGTTCCCTCTAAAAATAGGTATTAAAATGAAATCGAAATATTTTAATGAAATTGTTGATGAGCACAGAATTTTAAGTTTAGCATATTAAATCACAGGTTTGGAATGAATAACCAGGCTACCCAAAATTGGTCTGCTGTGTCTCACTGCTACATCTGTAACATTCCAAGAGAAGCCAAAGTTCAGCACCTCTAGAAGAAATGCCTGCAAGATGGAAGGGGGGAGGCATGACCTCCTGATGTCTCACATTTTCCCCTTGCAGACAGTAGTTGAGCTCTAACTTGGTTGGCAACTAGTTTGCATTTTCTCCAGCATCTTTTGCTTCTAGGGTAGCAACTGGGATAGGGAGAATCAGCATTGTTCCAAGGGCTAAATTTGGTCAGGGGCTTCCAGCTCCTGATCCCTTAGCAATAATAAATCGGTGATTATTGTTCAAGTTGGTACCAAACATCCTTAGAGACAGGACAGTGAGCTTAAAGGGATTACTAATGTGACTTGCCAACTGCCCAGTTGTTCAGAAATACTGTAGCTGCATTAGGGCACAACACTGCGTTCTACTGCTGTAGTAGAGACACTTAGCTCTGTCCACGTTGCAATAAAATCCTATCCTAAAACTCTTCCTTTCTCCCTAAAGTCTTGTAAAGTCTTGTCTTATGGTATGTTAAGCCAACACAGGACTTTCTCTCCTGACTCTAAGACACACCTGTGAAAGCAGGCTTGTCCCCCAAACATTTTTCTGCCCAAGGCAGAGCAGATAATGTTGCACATCCCATCCCCAAGTAAGTCAGAGTACCTAAGGCACCTAAGTTATTTTGGCACCTGAGATGGGAAATTCCATCACTGACTTTCCCACTCCTTGGCAGAAAAAAATACTGAAGTCAAAGAGAATTTGCTTCCCTTTCATGACAGCCATCATTGCCACTTTAGGCAGCCACATCGCTCTGGCTCATGGGAAGGTGCAATGCCCCATACGACTGGAGTGGCTACAACAACTTCTATGATCTTACATCCACCTACAAGGCAACCTCACACAAGCGACAGTCTACATGGTGATGCTAAATTTAGCTCTTCTACATAACTGCTAAACCACAATCACTGCAGATGATAAACCCCTCATTTCCTAAACTAAGATGCTTGTCCACTGTTGAGTTTGGCTGGGAGAATTCTTCTTTTTCTTTTTTACTGGAAATGCTCAGTAGTTTTGCATGGATGTAAGAAGTTTAATTCATGTTTAGATTTAAGACTGTATTCTATGATCGAACAGTGCAAGTGCAGAACTTGACATTTTCTGTGTAAAATTAACCATCTTGAGAAAATGAGGAAGGAACAATGCATTGTGTTAAACTGTCAATATTTGTACAATCCTGAACATATTTTTTATGTCCAGGATTGTACAATCCAGGAGCAATTACCCTTGTCTCATTGTTAAGATGTAGAGTTTTCGTGCCTTCACAAGCAAATGCAGTATGTGAGGAAATGCACAATGCCTTGATCGGAAGACAGCGGGAAAAATAAAAGCATACTTGCCATCTCAGCAGTGGCTGCATGTGCCTTCACCCCAGCCCCTCATCGCCACTGACTGATGTTGGATGTAGCTATGAAAATGAACCATGCTATACTATCACGAACTGGGCAAGTTGTCCCAGAAGATACAGAGCAGGAGAGAATTTAATGCATCAGCACCAACCACTTGTTTAGTATAATGCATCATCCGTAGCTCAGCTTCCACCCTCTCTGTTTTTAAAACAAGATTCTAAACTGTAAGGCTTCACATTATGCAGACAGGGTATGGTGACAGAAATAACAAGCGAGTTTGCATGAAAAATTGGCACTATTTCTGGTTGCTGTTAAGAAACAGAATGTGGACTAAATGGATTCTGGCCTGATCTAGTAAGATAATTCTTAGGACTCCACATGGCAACTTGTTCAATTTGCAAAATGTATGTAGGTTATAGAATTTAGCTTTGCTTGCAAACAACAGGTTTTATTCCATACCCAAAAGCAGGCTTGTGAAGCCCAAACTTTTATGGGTTTGTCAGCAGAAAGAACACAATTAACCAATAAACATAACGATAGCATGGAAAAACACCACTGGTAAGACACTATGTACATATATTTACAGCTACATACAGAAACTTGGGTTGGCTGCAATAGGGGAAATCTACAAGCCATCGCCTGCAATTGTTTGTCCCATAGGTAGATTGCAGAGATGATTCTTAAGAAACAGAGGAAATTGGGTTATGGGGGGAACCCATTTGCGTCAGCACCTTATCTAGCCATTGCAACGGTCCATGCAGATGGATCTCAATCCAGCACGGAGTACTTGTAACATCCTGACGATGGTACTCTGCTCCCCAGCCCTACAAAAGAAATGAACAAATGCCATTGGGTCAAAAAGGTTGTCTTGCTTTTCACACTGTCAAGGAGAATCTAGTTCTGCAGCATCCACAGGGAGAATTTCATCCAAGAAAATGTCAGTAATAATTTCATCCAAGAAAATGGTAGTAATAAAAGTTTATTGCTTAGCTACTGGCTATAATAAAGTTTAAAATGAATCAGTAAAGCAGACCTGTTCATTCAGGGCAGTTGAACAGAGGCAGAGATGATTTTGCAATAAAGGAAAGAGCCTTAAGGCCTGCTGCATTGGCTTTGTATTCTACGCGATTTACATTTTCTTCCATCATTGCCTACAATTCCTTAGCTTATAGTTTTTATGTTAAGTGCAAGGCTGGACAACTTGTGGCCCTGCAGATGTTTTGGCCTGGAACTCCCATACTCCTTCAAGCACTGGCTATGCTGCGCAGGGTGTTGCAGGCCAAACATCTGGAGGGCCATACATTGCTCACCTTCATGTTATGGGTTTGAGAATGATTTTTGAACTTACTGGGTGGGAAGAGGCTTTAACCTCACTGTCTTCTCAGCATTCCTAATGAAGATCACTCATCTCAACAGGATACTTCCTTCCTGGTAGGCTGAGGTACCTGTGCACCTTGGCCCAGCACCCATTATGGCATGCAGCCCTTTAGGCAACCCTGGTCCCCATCAGCCACTCTGATTTCATCAATTACATACTTGTCTGGGTTCCTTTCTCTGAAATTCTCTATTCCTATCCCCCAGCAGGTAACTGCCACTCTCATGGGAGGCAACATTCACCATCTATTTGGAAGACACATATAGAAAGACCAAAACCACTCTAGAAAGAATTTGGTTCAGCTAACAACTGTGATGCTAAAGGTTAACAAATTGTACATTGTAAAAGATAGCAAGGTAAGATTTGTGTCCTATTCGAATAAGCAACTTCCCAGATTCTGCTGGTTACTTTTTCCTCAAGTGCAAACCTTGAACATATTTTAAATTGAAGTCATTAAACATATCTCAATTAATGCTTTATGATTCTTCCATTTATGACAACAGTGCAGCATGTCAAACTTGCGTTGCTTTGTACTGCGTATGAAACCATGGCTGACACAGTATCTCATCAGTCAAACCCTTGGTTCATTAAATGGTTCTTCACCCCCCTCTGGTGGTGTCTGGAAAGAGTTTCAGGTGGAGTTTATATTAAGACTTGCTCTCTGCACAAGCCACTGGGATTCTATGTCTCCTTTTGAGGTCCCAGCTGGTACTTTTGTGGGTGACAGTCTTTACACTGTAGACTGCTAGAGTGGAATTTTTGATCCATGTTTTCAAACTGCACTGAAGATTAAATAAAGGGTGCATATGACCTGAATTGAACAGTGAGTTCACAGTGAAACCACATGTGCTGCATTTTTGGCACATGTAACATCTTTTCCCCAGAATGGACTCAGAGGAAATGCTTTCTTCCAGATTGCAACTGAAGGGGCCATGCACAGTGCTCTTGGGGCTGATTCTTTGGTAATCACAAAGCTAACATGCTTCTTTCTGGAATATCGTTCCCCACCTAACCAAGGAGACTACACTCTCTCACCTGCTCTTATTTTCAGCTTACAGCTGTAGGCACCCAAGGAGACCTTGACTGATATCATAAAAAATAAAAGGTTTTTTTTAAAGCTGGACCATGGGTGTTGTGTGAGCTGCAGAATGCGTATGTCACAATTTCACTATTTGATTAATATCAGATAAACCCAGATTCAAATACTTTCACATCCATGAAGCTCACTGGATGACCCCAGGCCAGTTGCACTCTGTCATTCTAAAACTACCAATTTGTTGTGAGGGTCAAATTGCCAGAACAAGAGAACATGAGCCAGGAACAAAGGAAAAGTAGGATACAAGAGAAGTGTACCAAAAGCATTTTTACATCACCCATCAGCCAATGTTTGAGCAAGGGATTTGGAGAGTTGGAAGAACGGGAGGCGGTGAAGAGGACCGGCAGGTTAGCATTCCCTTGAAAGGCCATGCATACATCAATTTATAAATGAAGGAAGCAGCAGAGCTCATGCTGCAGCCCCAAAGTGCCTACCTGCTTGTTTCCAGGTACAGCTATAGGCATCTAAAGAGGATCATGCAGATATGATGAAAAATAAAGGGGTTCTATCCTTGAATCTGGCCCACAAGGAAGTGTGTGCACCCCAGAATGTATATGACAGACCAGTGCACACACTGTGTTGTAGGCACAAGGTTCCCAATAAATCAGGAAATATTACGCAGCTTGAATTTCTTATTTCTATGCTAGGTAAGAGCATGGGGTGATTCCCAATCCTTGCTGCAAATGGGATCCAGAGGATGCAGGCTTCATACTGGTTCAGTGTCAGTGTCCCAGGAGGATCAGTATCACAGACCGTATTTCCCACCACCCCAACCATGGAAAAACTTCTTGCAAATCTGCTTGGGATTTACTGGCAGAACAGCAGTGGGTGATGTAATGGGGAAAATTAACCTTGAGAGCTGTGCACATTTTGACCCACTGTTTGTAGAGGAGAAGACAAGTAGAAACAGCAATGGCCAAAATAAAGGAAGGTTCTTCATCATCTTCTTAACCTATATGTGTTTGTACAAAGAGGCTCCAAGGGCAAGCACATTTGAGGGAATGCATCCCTGACAGGTTTTGGTACATCGTCTCAATAGTTGAGTTTAGGAAAGCTGTTTAAACTTAGCAACTCCTTTTCTCCTGTGTAAAATTCTGGGTTTCATGGCATCACCACTGGAGCTCTCTCAGGTTCACTAGGCTGAAACCCCATCTTGTTTCTGCTCTATTCAAAGGAAAGAATGAAGCATTCACCACTTCCCTTCCAGTACAGAGTAGAAAACATCCATTTCAAATGAGAGATATATAGCTATTTCTTTGTATAAATAGAAATATTTTGTTTGTCATAAATAAAGAAAAGTAGCTATTAGAAAACAAGCAGAGTAGCGTTTATGAATAGCAAAAAAGAAGAAAGGCATCTAGTATGGAGTTCACAATTTGCAACTATTTCTGTAGTGCCAGATGATAGCACAGTGAACTGGCAGGGGAACAACTATTTTTGGTTTAATTTGTAGTAATGTTTATTATCAGAGTGTGTTGCCAAAACAGAGAAAAAAGGGTGATGAACCAACTTACGCTCATGTGGAACTAACTACTAAATAAATGTTTAACATCACAAATGAGATTTGTGATCTTCCATATCTCAGAATGTTTTTCAGATAAAAAATAGTGAGAACGTGGGTAGAACACCCTCCCAAAACTTTAGTTTTGTACTATGAAACTAATATTGATTGTTGGGATCATTAACCAGACAACTTATTCCTTATCTGTTGGGTAATTCTGCCAAAGGGCATTTAGGTTTCTTCTGCACTGTTCTTTGCCATGATCAACAGCCTGATGCTTTTACGAACAGAGCCAACTGTATGCAGACCAATCCAATTGATTTTATTTTTTTTAGATGTCACAGCACCAGCCACGTCATCTACAATGGTTGTAGCAGTCTCTTGTTCTTGTTATGTGGTGTTTGATAGAGCTGGAGGCAGATTTTTACTGGCCTCGCAGCCTTAATCTGAGCAAACTAAAACCATCTCTCCATGATTGCTTCCTGGCAGTGGAGGCCAATTCAGGGACCACCTAGATTAGTGGTATCCAAAATATTCCACAACATACACATTTTTATGATAGTTTCCTAATTTTTGCTTGGTTCATACATGATGTTTGGAAGAAAAGATCTATGCATATTCAGAATTCAACAGTTTGCACCAACATCCCAAGTTTTGTGATTATCAGCTGTAGAACTTGTTTTAACTGGTTGTATTTAGAAAATGCCCCCACAGTAAGAGACTAACCATGCCATTTTGCAGTTTACAACCACAAACAGAGAAGTTCTTACTTTCACAAAGCTCATCCGGATGGTACACATCTTGGTTAGCTCATAGACGACCTCAAAACCATGGTTAACCGACTGGGCAAGCAACTGGGCAAAGAGTTGATTGTTGAAAATCTTCAGGCTGCAGCCACTGGGGATCTTGCAGACAGTGGCTGGGTGGAAGCCGTGCTGGTAGTTACAATTGCGACTCTGTACAAAAATGCTGCTGTCACTCACACATTCTGCATATACCTCTCCCCCAACATAATACAGGTGGACACCTTAAAAGGAAGGAGAGAAACCCAAAGGTAATTTTCTGCAGGCTTCAGTACAGATTAAAGCCAGATCTGCCCTGAGTTTCATTATGTGGAGGACTAGCACTGTAAGATGGACTGTAGTTTTTAAAAATGGCAATGTTGAGATTCTGTGGTTTGGAATGAAGTTTAGTTGCATGGTAGGTATTCCACATTGAAGCTATGGAAAAAATGGCCTGCCACAGGCCTCCCTCTGGATAGCAAAGTGCTCCTAGATACCCCTTCCGGCGTAGAAGCCACACTCGATGACACAACCAAGCCTTTGTCATGATCTCTGAAGTAAATCAGTGCTTGGCTCCTCTTGGCCATGCTACTTTCACTCCCTGCCCAATACAATGGCTTGTATTGTTCAGCTTAAAGAAAAGGCAAATAGGGGGAATCCTGGCAGAGGTGCGTAACTTTCTGCATGATAAGAGAAAGTGGGTAGGGAGACATTTTTCTTCCTCCCTCCAGAATCCAGAGTGGACCTACGGAACAATATGGGAGTTTCAGGACAGACAATCATAGAATAGTAGAAGTCGAAAGGCCAGAAGGCCATCGGGTCCAGCCCCCTGCTGTTGCAGGACACCAAGTTACACCATCACACCATTACAAAAGGAAGTACTTCCTCACAGTGCAGCTAAACTCTGGAACTGGCTAGCACAAAATGTAGAGATGATCACCAACCAGGGTGGGTTTAAAAGAGGCGAGATAACTCTGGATCACAGCACTATCAAGGGCTGCTATTGTCCTAACTGCTGCCTCCAGTATCAGAGGCAGTATGCCTGTGTGCAAGAGTTCACAGGGAATATGAGTGGAAGGGTGCTCTGATTGTCACGTCTTACTCATGTGTTTCCCACAAGTGATGGTTGGGTATGGGGCCAGGGGAAGGCATGTGGTCATCTGGGGAACTCCAGAGGGCCAGCAATGAAACCTCAGCATAACTGGATTTGGACCCTGGACCTGAGGTACTACACTCCTGTTTTAACCCAAGAGGTGAATGCACCTGCGAGTTTCACATAGCATGCAAGCATTCTGATGTAAACATTTCCAACGTCTCTAAGGCCATACAGATGAATGAGTTTGAATTTCCAGATCATACAATAGTTTCCAAGAATAATTTCTTACCAGTATAATAAGAAATTGCTCTTACCCTTTCCTATGTGTCTCCTGGTGTTTTCTATAGTAGAGTTCCTATTTACATTGGACAGAAGCCCGAGGCAGAACCTGCTCTTATTGTTTGAAGGATCTGTAAAGCCATCAATCAGTATACTTCGAGAAGAGGCCTGAAACGTCTCTCCTACTCGATTATTGAGTTCATAGTATGCTACCGAACACCAATGCTGTGGTTCCTCATAGCAAACAGGTCGGAAGTCTGGAAGGAGAGCCCGGGGCAAAGAAGAATGCAAAGGCAATGGAGAAGAAAAAACTTTAATAGCTCATCATCATAACCATATGACCAGTCACAAGTGCTCTCAGAACTTGCCTCTACAGCAAGTTCCGAAATGTTGTTGTTAAGTGTTTGTGTTCTGACAATTGGGAGCCACAAGTTGACAGCTTCAATGTCATTCACTTTTGATAACTGTGTAGGGAAGCAGAATTCTGTGGCAGAGAGTCCAGCCATCACCAACCACCATTTCACTAGATTTCCATAAGGCTGCATGGAGCTAGCAGTGCTGGGAGTGACCATGAGGAGGCCTCCAATCCTCTTCCTCATGTGGTTCAAAGAGGCAAGAGGTAAATGTTTATGCAATCAGCATACAGGTCCTCAATTCTGCATTATGTGCATTTAGCTTCTTTGTCATGAAATGGAGCTGATACATCTGTGCTTATAAAGCTAATATATCCTTGAAACTTTCTAACTGGAAGCAACTCTGGCATTAACTCTGGTATGATGTTGAAGAACTGACACTATTGAAGCAGTTCCCATTTTATATTATTGCTCCTGAATGACAAAAACCACCCAGACCAGAAAATAATTATGGTCTGACTTTGGTTACAATCACTCTAGAAAGAGATGTCAGGATCCAGTATAAATAACACTGCTTAATGCAACTGTAAAAAATCTTGGTAAAGAGAAGATACTGAAACCCAAAATATCACAGCAGTTTTATGGTTTTTGAAGAAGGGGATGAAAAGCAAATGGATGCATGCCACTATGCCTTCACTTTCTACTGCATGTTGTCAATGTGTGTCCAAAAAAGGAAAATAATTTCCTTTTGAGATGTGACAATGTGATGAAAAGCGAGTGCACTTTTGTACCTAATTCCTTCCCAGCATTAACGAAAACTGAAGGCATTCTTGGTATATAGAACTATCTCTGTAGCGTCTATGTATCAAATATTGTGAACCACTCAGACCATTATATCTCAAAAATATATATAGAATTAGATACAGAAAGGGAGAGTTAAATAACTTATCTACACTGTGCCTTATCCCGATCATGGCATAGCCTTCAAAACCAATCAGAGACTTTTTTATGAGGGAGGAGAAGGGAAAGCAAGTTGATATGGAAGGAGTGAGTAAAACATGTATCTTTCACTTTCTCACAATGCAAGATCAGAGGGTCATGCAATACATTGATAAGCAATTGGCTGGGCCCCATTAAGTTAGTCATGACTAACTGAAGTCCCACTGATTTCAAAGGCCTTGCCCCAAATCTGGATCCAGCCCAGTAGGTTTAAGTCAAAGGCATGAAAGTCGCTTTTCACACTTTAATTTGGAAAATTCAGGCCACTGCTTGTTGCATGACTTTACTATGGCAAACTGCTTTTCGATAGGGAGTTGTAATAGTAATATGGGGCCTTGCCTTTTTCTTTTTGCACCCCAGTGGAGCCATGTCTACAGTAGCTGTTTGAAACCTATCAGAGGTTACAATGCATGGGAGAATGTCTTCCATACTCAGAGCTGGAGTGTTGGCCTTCTTCCCCCACGTTGCTCCTCAAAGAGAAAGGGATGCCTCAAGCAACCAGATTAAGTAACAGAGTCACTAGCTGTGGAATAGGTAAGGCCCCATCTGCTAGAAAGCCTTCTTTCCTACAGTTCTCACACGTCATGTCCAATGGCTACACTTGAGGTTTTGTGCTTCCTTGAGCTTTTCTTTATCATTTTAAGGGCTGGTGTGTTTGACCTGCATTCAAAACACAGATGTAGTAACTGGGGGCCAAAACAGGCCTTACCTTAAATCTTTATCTTGCAGTTACATCTTTCCTCCAATTTTACCCTAGAGCAGATGCAGAGTGTCTTAACTAGGTTTGCCCTGTATCTACTCTAGAGTAAAAATAGGCAGTGGGGGAGTGTAGCTGCTAGAAAGGGTGCTTCCCCACAGCAAAGGTTTATTTATTTTATTTATTTTTACATTTATAAGCCACCAAACAGATCAAATGATTTGATCTGTTTGGAGGATGGCATCAAGGGAACTAAGGGAGAGAATCTTCTTGGTGGTTGCCACTCAGTTACAGAATGTCCTCCTCAGTGGGCTCCATCTGGCATCAACGCAATGATAATGTATTTTCAGTGTTGGGCTAAGGCTTTCCTATGCTCAACATATGATAAGGTGTTGTTTTAAACAAGTCTTAGGATTTTTTCCTGATGACTGTTTAAAATTGTCTTATAATTTATATGTAAATGAGATTATTTTATGTTGCTATATTTTAAGAGTTTCATCTTTGTAAATTGTCCTGACAGTTTTGATGACTGGGCAGTATGGAAATAAAATGAATGAACTGAAATTTAAAGTAATGGCTGTGTAGCCCCCAGGTCCCCAAACAACTTTGGAGACAGCAATGCTACTAAAGGCACAGTTCTGTCAACAGAACAGCTCCAAGAATACTGTGGTTTGAAGACTTCAGCAGGCCCCACTTTGATTAAAGACCACCTTAAATGAAGTGTGACGAGTTATCTGTCAGAAGCGTTGCCCACGTCTTTCCCACTAGAAAACAATACAAATATTTACATACTTTTAAGTTCTTCAGTGGTGGATTTACCTCCATTGGGCAAAGACAACACTAACTGACTGTCTGCAACTGCATGTACTAGGCGTCCATTGTGGTTCCCTGGGGTTTCTCTTGCATTGTAAGGTGGGGGTGGAGTTTCAACTAGGGAGGGAAAAATGGAGAAAGTGAATGGGTTTGGCATTTCATTGGCACAAATTCATAGCAGAAGAACCAAAATCAAAATGTTAGTAATGAATTGATATGGATCCCTTTATGGTCTAAATTAGGATGGATAGAAAGGAATAGATAAAACTTCTATTCCCTTCCAAGGTTCTTGGATACTGGAAAAATGTGGCAATAGATATCGCTACTGAAGGTACCTCCTAGAATGGGAAAGAAGGTTGATACCATGGATTCAGTGAGCCAACGCTGACTGAAGTTCCAGAAATAATGCACTGCCAACTAGAAAGGCACTGAGGGCTATTCACTTGCATGTTCTTCATTCTGAAAATGCTGAACTTCTAATAAAATATGTTTGTTGAAATAATCTTTGTGACCAGAAGATAGCCAGCATCACACTGACCTTTTAAAAAGAAATCGGGGGATCTGGAAGATTAGAGTCCTGTCAGCCTAAAAGGTACATTGGCATAAAAAACAATGAAAGCTAGAATTCTTAAGCTCATATAAGAACAAGCCTTGTTGAGGATGACTCAGTATAGCTTCTGCACAGACAAGTCCTATTGTACCAGCTTTCAGAAATTCTATGTGGAAGGCAAGTAAGCAGTTAAGACAAGCAAGTAAACATATACTTGGACTTCCAAATAATGTTTGACGATATCAAGTACTCCTACAAAAACTTCTGTCTTGTTTGTCACATGCAAGTAAACTAAACATAAACTCAATCACACTCTAGGGCATAAGAAAATGTTCTGATGTAAACATGAGATTAACTTATACAAATTACCCTAATTTCCATAATAAAACTTCTGGTTCAAAAATGTCTAGAGAACTCACATCACCAAATCTGAATAGCATTACAAGCTCCTTGGTAAAGAGGCTACTGTATTCCATACAGAAAAATCAATGCAGAAGACAATTCACTGGCATTACAAAGGTGGTTCAGGACTTGCTGCTAAGTCATTTCTTACCTGTGAGTGGATAAGGACTTCCTGGTGCAGAAGAACTCCCTGGGGAGTCAGGGTAGCTCATACTGTTAGGTGACTGTGCAAACATGTTGGGTGATGCTTGGAAAGAAGTACAAGAAGGTTGTTGGAAAGAATCTGGATAGGTTGCATTATGAGGCATCAGCGGCTCACTGTGAAGGGATGCATTTCGGAATTTGGCAAGGAGGCTGAGGTGTGGGTTGAATTCACTATGTCTTGGAACCAGGACTGGAGGCAACACTAGAACAAGAGGAACAAAAATGCGCAACATGGGAAGGTGCCTTTCACCTGGCTTTACCATTTATACATCTTGCCCAGCATTAGCTACTCTCCATAGATTCTACCAGAAGAGTCACCAAACACCGAGAAACATTTTAATTCAAGATATGAGGGACCGAACCATAGACCCCCTGTATGCAAAACAGTGTTCTTCTGCGAACTCTCCGAAGTTTCAGCAGCCACATTATTTATTTATTTAAAGTGTTTCTATGCCATCCCATTACTAAAAGGCTCTGGGTGGCTCACATTATCAAAATATCATTCCATCTTACACTGTTCCTTGAATGCTGGAGACCAACAAGCTCAATCAAATTAAGGATCTCTAAGTGCATGCTCAGGGGTTCTGTACACTCTTGTCATTTCTCCTCTTGATGGATTGCCACTTCTTCTACCCCTTCTCAATGCTCCTAGGTCCCTCACCACCCCCTTACAGCACCAGTCCCTGCCCTCACTAAAAGTCAGCAGGCACCCCATACATCTATTTGTCAGGATGCTGTTCGGTCTGTCATTCTCCATAGGAGACTGGAGAGCTTCCTCGGGAATAACTGCATTTGGAGCCACTGTCTCACAGGCACTCAACCCTGGGTGACTGTGGGCTACAGTGACCTCAACACAGCAATCATGATATTCTAATCACTAATTGGGTGGAGGAAGAGAGAGGAAAGAAACAGTACAAGTGGCTCCTGCTACCCCTATCTTGCATATACAAAAATAAGTTTCTAGACCTTAAGACAGCATGCAGGCTGAAAGGCTTCCCCAGCTGCTCCACCAGCTCTTCCCCCAGTTTCCATCCATCTCTTCTCCCAGAAAGGAAACATCTCTTACCTTCAACAGCAGCTGAACAGAGAGAATATTTCACTGCTAAAACATTAAAAAGGCTCTTTTCTCAGCAGCAAAAATATTTTTATGTCTGATCACTAGCTGAAAAGAGATCTTTCCTGTGGGAAGAGGGGGTGGGCCTGGGGAGGAAGCTGCTAATTATGTCAGTCCTGCTTACTTGTTAGCAGACTTGCTGCTTGGCAGATCATTATTTCTGAGTAGACATGAAGAACTTGGTATTTGGCATGCTGCTTAAAAGTGCTGCTGAGGGGTTCTGCCCTTATTCATTTAAGAGGTGTTCTAAACTGCTTTCCATTTAAAAAATCCTAAAGCTGTTTAAAAGATAAAATCATGATAAAATGAGTATAAATCATTAAAGCAATAAAACAGTAATCAAATTATAACAACTCATTAAAATAATCAGGGATAGCTGACAATGTCAGCAGTCAGGGGAAACAGATGTATTTGAAGTTGTTACTGGAAGCACTCCACACTAGGTGCCTGTCTGATTTCAGCAGAGAAATCATTTCATAGGGTGGGTGCCACAACCAAGAAGATCCTCCTTTGCACCATGGTCAAATGATCCTCAGTAGGCTGGTGTTAATTGAGCAAAACCTCCAGCTCAGAACAGAGACCAGGGCAGCCTGTATGGAAGAAGGCCGTCTCTGAGATAACCTTATAAATCAACATGAACAAGCGTATCTTGCCTATTTCTGATTAGTCTTAAAATGGGTAACAATCATACATAGTTCTTCACTTTTGGCTTTGCCTACAAATGGATCAGACTGAAATGGCCTGAAAGGATGTGGGTAACAAAACAGAGCCAGAGCGAGAGCGAGAGCGAGAGCGAGAGCGAGAGCGAGAGCGAGAGCGAGAGCGAGAGAGAGAGAGAGAGAGAGAGAGAGAGCTGAGTGGGCTTTTTAAAAGTACAGATGGAAAGGCTTTAATGCTCAGCATTGAGTTTCTCTCTCCTTATAACCAGGAAGAAGCAAATTTAGTTAATTTGCATAAATTATGCAGGTTGAAAATTCAGTTTTATGTATTGGCAAAGAACTCTGGGAATATTTGCACACTTTTTAAAAAGATTGTATTCACAGATTTTTATTTATTGATTTATATCCTGCCTTTTTCCTACAAAGGGCTCAAGGCAGCTTACATCTCCTCCTCCATCTTATCCCCACAACAACCACCCTGTGAGGTAGGTTGGGCTGAGAGTCTGTGACTGGCCCAAAGTCACCCAGTTGGCTCCATGGCTGAGCAGGGACTAGAACCCAGATCGTCTGAGTCCCAGTCCCATGCTCTTAACCACTACACCACACTGGCTCTTAGGGTACAAATGTTCACACAACAGAGACCTATTAATTTCAAATGTCCAATTATTAAAAAGCATTCAGAAAATGTGTTATTATTGTTACCACATTCTGCAACTTGAAAGAAGAGAAATAGTAAATTCAGTGCTATTAATAAATCAAGTATGAAAACACAAATACACAGAATGCTTAAAAATAAGTTGTCTGAAGCAGGAGTCTGTTGAAATGGCAAATTAGGCTGGGAAACTATGGTCTAATACACTAAGAAAAAAACAGACCATGCTATGGCAAAAACAACCCCCCAAAAATCTGAAAACTGTATATGTATTTGGAAAAATTTTACAATGGTGTAACAGAAACATATAAAAAGAAATGGAAAATTCTTTAATGAAACTCCATTTGGGCCACATTTCTCAGAAAATGGTAGAAATTTGATAGATCAAGTATCAGGGATGCCAGAGAAACGATTAAATCTTTAAAGGGCAACAGATCCCAGCGAGCAGCTGGAACTACCACCAAACTCCCACTAAGCTTTATTCAATATGTTGTTAACACTGTTAACAAATGTAATAAAAATACATTTGAGAAAGTAAGATTTATTGACTAATCAGCTGAAGTAAACATTATACCATGATTAAGCTCACAATTCTTTTAAACTAAATAAAGCCCTGTGGTGAAGGCATTAACTTGATCAGGGAAGTGGAATGGGACCTGGAGTGCTCCACTATTCCCCTAAATTACTTTCCCGCTCTAAATCACATCCTCCCCACAAAATCTTTTTGGTCTGTCAGGAAAGGATCCAGGGAAGGCATCATTACATTAACCAATATTGTTATTCAATTACAATGATGAGGAAATGGCAACAGTATTAGAAAGTAAGCTTAAAATAATCAGGACAGCAAGGCTGAGATGTAATGCTCCCTCACACAAAGTCATTACTGCACGGTTTCTCCATGATCAGGTTAGTTCCTTTCTCCCATGGTTGCATTTAGTTCTTGTTCATTTGTTTGTTTGAAAGGGAGGCTTAATCATGGCTATTCCAGAGTAATGTTTACTTTGTGAGTCAAAACACATTATTTTCCCAAATGTGTTTTGCCATCTTTGTTCGCAAAAAAGATGCAGAAAGTTATATTTGACTAGATACTTTCATTGCTCAATCACTATTTCAGGTGTGGGAAAGATAAAATACAAAGTTGTCATCTGAAATTCCATCTCTGGCTTCATAAATATCTATACATTTAAAGTACGTTAATCTGCTTCTTGCCCAGCTTACCCATCCACATGCTCACCTTCTAAGTGGATATAAAAGGAAAAAGGAAAGGGGATGGAAGAGAAATACATTCAATGAAGCTAACAAATTCTGGATTATTTAAGATGGGAGTATTTTAAGAAGCATAATGGATTTCCATAAAAATAGAGTCATAAAATCTTACCAAGATATACATGCAAACATCAGCAATAGATCAATGACATTTTATCAACAGATTAGAAGGATCTGGGGTGTAAATACAATGTATTAATAATACTATTTTCTGTATCACAGTGAGACATAATTCCTTACAGTTTGTATACTACACAAAATGTATGGTACAACCAAAAGTAGATATTGGTAGTTGTAAAGCAACAAAATGAGTCTTTGATATGGCTGTGCTGGCATATAATAAAGTCAAAAGATTTAGAGAACTGATCACAGGAGCATACCAAGATATTCTATATCAAATGATCCTAGGATCTATTTGGTAAATTATATAAAGAAGTGTGTCCTTTAAGACTATCAAAGAGATAGTTTTAAACCTACTGGCAGGAGTTCAACTATTCCCCCCCCCAAAAAAAAGTGGGGGGAGACATGCATATGGTTGGCTGGTGGACTGAAATGAGGAGTCACACACAGAACAAACATTTATGCTTGTAGATATAGGGATACTGCAGCTCAATGGCAGAACAAATGTTTCAGGTTTAATTCCCAGTATTTCAGGACTGGAAAAACTGCCTGAAACCCTGGATAACTGCTGCCACTCAGTATCAGAAGCACTTGCAAAGACGGACCAATCGACTGGCTCAGTATAAGATACATTCCTGAATTCTTTCGATAGGTAAAGTTTATCAGTGATTGTCTCCAAAGTGCTGAGGTTTTGTGAGCACTGGGGTACTCAAGGTGTCCACCTTGGCTCAATGCTGCCTCTTTACAGGAATGCTGGTCCCTTTCCTTGCCCTCAAGCAACTTATCATGGTGGGGGAAGTAGAAGAAAAACTGAGACAGTTTCAAACCTTCAACTGCTCATTTACCAGGCCAGGCATGCTGCTGGCCCCTTGGGGAAAACACTGGCACACACAGGATCAGGGCAAGCAGGGCCCTGCTGGCAAGTCTTGCGGTGTTCACTTTAGCAAACTTAGCTTGGACATGCCAGTTCCTTATTCAGCTAGGAATGATGTGCAGAAGACTGTTCTTGCTCATGTATATCCACTAGCAAGATGAGAATGAAGTAATGAATATACCTTTTCTCTCCCCACCATCATATGTCATGCATTTGACCTACAAGACATCTATGATTACACAACTTTAGGATGTCCTTTGATCAACTTAATCAACAATGATTAGCTGAAGGAAATGTTTGTGTAAATATTAATTAGAGAATATTTCCAGACAGAAACATAGATTAGATTACAACAAGCTGATACCTGACTGATTAATCAGGAAACTCTTGTAAACAGGGGGTTAAAAAAGGCTCAGTATTGCAGGGCCCCAACAGTGGGCTGAATTCCCAAGAGGAGAACACTAGCCCCATTTTAAAATACACAGACTTGCTGATTCCTATCCTAGATTCCCAGACTGGTCCATGACTTTGGTGTATTGTTCTAGGTATGCGTGATGATTCAGCTCCTACGCTCTTCCAGTGTTCTCTGAAGAGAAGGAATAAGATGCACCCACAAAAGAAAAGCAAATGCTAATGCTAGACAGATGCCAAAAATAATCAGACATGCAATTTCTGATAGACCTGTCTCTGAACAGTCTTGTATCCAGGCTTCAGAGGGTAAGGCTGTCTAATAAAACCCAGTTATCCTAGCATTTGCGAGTGAGTGAGAAATTGGACCATCTGGGACTTCTTTCTCAATCATAAAAAGGGTTCTCTAAACATTTCATAGAGGAGATGCAGCAAGACTGTAGTGCAGTTAAGAAACAGACACTCCAAGAACGTGTAGCTTCTTGCTTTCCTAGAATTCCTGCTACTGTCCTAGGCACCCATCTGCAACCAGCAAGGCCAACGGAAGTGTGTGTGGTGGCTGGGACAAGAATACAAATTGGGCAGATGTTGTCCAGGTGAAGGGCTGAGTGCCCTATCCCCCAAAACTGATGCTTTCTCCCGTATGGAATTATTATCCATGGATGTTTTGTCAATGAAAAAAATATATATCTGCTGATGTGGTCAAGTATTTCCTGCATCTCAGTTAGCCCTAAATAAAGAGCTTAAGCAAAAAACAGCCCTAACATTTCAGCACCTTGGACAAGTACAAATTTGAAGAAAGCTGTAAGACAGGCATATGCAGTAACACCTCTTTTCTAACAGGAAAGAAAGAACAGCTACTATACCTACAATTCAGGCATCCCATATCACAATGGCTTTCAAAGAAACAAAGGATCTACTTTACCCCCACACAGCATACTACTGAGTTGTTAAAACCTGATTTGGGGTAGTAGCCAAAAAAGGTGGCAACAGGCCAGTTCACATTATCACACGGCACGTGGGTTGAGCTGGACTACCCACGTAAGAATGTGCGTTGAGCTGGACTACAGCAAAGAGAATATTGGCTTCCTTCACTAAAAGAGCAAATCTCAGAGCTCAATCCAAAATTGCTATGGCACATCTGAACTCATTTACTGTAGCTCTGCAACTGTATTGTGAATATGTGATGAGCATTTAAGTTGTGCTCATAGCAAGGCAATCACACAGTCATTTTATCGTAAAATCTGAGTTACTCCACGGGGACAAATATCAGTTGGAGCATGTTATAATCTACAATGAGAAAAGAGAATAGTGAAATCCCACTTCCCACAGTGCTGACTCCAATCCAATCTTCTTTCCAGAATCTGTTTTGAAAAAATATTTGAATAGCTGGAAGACCTGTTCCAACTTTTCCAAGTTCTTGTCTACATTGTCCCTAACACTGTAAGTTGGACCTGTATTAATCTATTATTAATTATTATTATTTGTTATTTTAATGAGATTTTATTTTTATCAATGTTTATTGTTTTAATGACCGCTTTGAGTATTGCATCATAATTTTATATTGTAAACCACTTTGGGATTCTTTTTCTAAAACAGGAATCAGTATAGAAATTCTTTTCAATGGAGTAAGTATTTTTTTACTCTTCTTTCAGTGGTCCCAAAGGTGGCTCACATTAACAAACTTTAAAAACCAATATTAAAAACAAGATAAAAATAGCCAACAAAAGTATAAATCACAACAACAAAGTGTTTACAATTAGCAACAATTAGAGTTAATTTAACCCAAATGCCTTCTTAAAAATTTATGTGACCGTCCCGAGGCTATGTAGTAAGGGGACGGCATATAAAAACTTTAAATAAATAAATAAATAAATAAATAAATAAATAAATAAATAAATAAAATGAAAACAAGGTTTTGGCACTCTACCACAGAGTGGTCTCCAAAGGAACACAAGTTTAGTTGGATTCATTGCCACAAATTTTTCATGATTCTTACTTTAGTCATTATACCAGCTCTTTCATTGCCCCAGTTCCTCATCCTATCAGGAGGTGAAGATATTTAGGAACAATTAGGTCAACTATTAAAATTGTGGTTTTAATGAGAATTTTACTGTAAGCCATCTTGAGTGCCTTTCCTTGGCAGAAAGGCAGCATATAAATTAAATTAATTTTAAAAATCACCCTGGTCCTCCCTCAGTGCCAGAGATCAACCAGATCATGAGAAGAACCACCAATTCTAGTACAAGAAAATCTAATTCCTTCAGAAAACCAACAGGAACCATCAGCTTTTCAGAGTAAACCATCATAACAGATTCCCCACCTGTATGGGGTTGTAGGGCCATGGTAAGGCATGGTGGGGGCACCTAAACAAGAATAGCGGCAGTCAGAGCCTGGCATCAAATCCTACATCATTGTCCTCCTCTACAAACCTCGCTATATGTTTTAGTGCAAGGATGCCACCTCAGCTGTAGTAACTGTCAGCTGACCCTGAAGTGGTCCTTCAAATAACCTTCCATGGCTTTAAAGGCAATGACAGTCTTAAGGGAATGGAGCAGAATATAAATATTAAGAGAAACAAACAAATTAATCCATAATACCTGTAGCAGTATATCTATTTTGGGATCCCTAAGCCAGCAATTAGGAAAGGCAAGATATATTCATTATTGCTTTGTACTCCTGAACATATCCTGGCTGTTGCTGAAAACAGACTGGACTAGATGGAATCAGAACTGAATCCATTACCCTTCTTCACTAAGGAGCCTCCCTCCCTCCCTCCCTCCCTCTCTCTCTCATTCTCTCTCTGTGTTTTACAGACAAAATAATGACAAGATGCAAACCCAACACAGTAAAATTATCTTAGATAGTTTAAATTATTTACATACCTGGGGTTTCCACACGCCGATAATGGTAAGGATTAATGCACACTTCTTTTTGCTTGGAGCCAAATGGAAACTCACAACATTCCAGTGGTTTTAACTCATGATGAGACTGAAGATCAGGCCAGCGCCAGACTCTGCAGTAAATGACATGTGGTAGACCTTTGCGATGAGACACTTGCAATCTTCCATCCAAAGAGCGTGGGATTGTAACACACTTACTGGGCTGCCCAGGACAGCTGAGCGCCCTCTCCAGTTCCTCCATAGCACCCTTCTTTTTCTTCAGCTTCTTCACCAAAGAGTCCACAGCCTTTTCGGCCCATTTTTCCTCTTCATCTCCTTGCTTCCAGCCCAGCAGTCTCTTGACAGCTGGGCTGGTGAAGGAGAACAAAGAACTGATAGGGGTGCTGGAGTGCATATGAATTAGAGATAATTGGTGTGACTGCAAGATGGGACCACAGATCTCACTCTCTTTTAAGAATCCCAAGATCCAGGAGGGCAGCTGCCTTCGGATTTAGGTTCTTCCACGCATATTGCAGTATGTCCTCTCAATCGTCTTGAAATATAAAACAATCCTGCAATAAAACAACAATATTTGACCAGACTTAATACTTGTGCTTTTTTCACCGCTTATTCTAGTAAAAAAAAAAAAAAACCTTTGTTTAAAAAAAATTCTGACTAGGTTCAGACAACATGAGAACTCACACTCCTAGGCTGGTTGTAGTTTAAGTGCAGGTTGTTGTTTCCGTGTTTGAATACAGCTGCACTATGAAGCTATAGCTAGTTAACCATGAAAAAATCATGAAGAGAACCCATGGAGGAGAAGGCTATCAATGGCTTCAAGTCCTAGCGGCTCTATGCTACCTCCTGTATGTATACCAGCTGCTGGGGAACTTGGGGGGGGGGGGGTGATGTTGCACTCATGTCCTCCTTGTGAGATCTGGTGAGCATCTGGAACAGAATGCGGGCCAAAATGGACCCCGCTCTTCTTATGTTCTTATAGTGTGTTACCAAGTTACAAATTATGGGCTATTCACCATGATCACTTATCTCAACTGGGTTCAAACACACTAACTCAGATTTCAAGAACAATGCAGGGTTCAACAACATCCCCTGGAGGTGTTACTGTCAGAACCCAGTAAGTTTCTTTCAAATTACCATCTAATTAATAATTGTCAAGCACTAACAAAAATTGACAGGAAAACTGAACAGGCAAAACAAGTTTTCTTCATTTTGTGAATCCTTGTAAGCTAGTAATACTTATGCTTCTTCACACAAAATTTAAATAAAAAACATGGGAAGAATCTGTAATTAGAACTAGCCCAAAGGTATTCAGAAGGTATTTCTGCACGAAGTATCTGCTTCTTTTTCTCAGCTCTAGAAAAAGAAGGCCTTTTTGCAGGTTAAGATGGTTTTCTGGGGTGGCAGCTACCCTTCCTCCTCCTCCATCCCTCCCTCCTCTGATACGCTAAAGCAACATTGGGATCAGGATGCTTTGATGGATACAAAGTGGAGGCCGGGCTGCCAGTTCAGCAAAATCGCAAATAACAAAAATCTTCAAGGAAAACACAGAAACAGAGTGAGTCAGAAGGGTCCTCCTAGGCTATCTAGTCTGACCTCCAGCTCCAGTCAGCTCCACTCCTGACATGCCTACCACGTGCATGTCCAGCCTATCCTTAAATACCCTCACTGAAGGGGTTTCAACCATCTCCCATGGAAGCCCATTCCATACCCTAGGGGACCCAACCATCAGGAAGTACTTCCTGGCATTCAAATTGAATCTTGGTTCCCTGAGCTTTGCTCCATTGGAATGCATCCTGCCCTCATCGGGAGAAAAAAGGTCATGACCCATCTCTGCATAACACCCTCTCACATAACTATATAACTGTAACAGGTCCCCTCTGGATCTCCTCTTCTTAAGGCTGAAAAGGACTCAGTTCCCTCAGTCACTCCTCACATGGCTTACCCTGCAAACCAGCCACCATCCTTGTGGCCCTACACTGCACCAATTCCAATCTTGCTATAGCTCTCTTGTAATGAGGGGCCCAGAACTGAACTTAATACTCCAGTTGTAGGCATTTGTAGGCATACCAGATTCATATAGAGTAGCAATAATACCTCTCTCATTGTTTGCCCTCTTGACTGCTGCATCACACTGCTGACTCATATTTAGTCTGCAGTCGACCAGGACCCTGAGATCTTTTTCACAAGTGCTGTTCTCCAGCCACTTGTCCCCTAACCTGTACTTATGGCACCCATTCCTTTGCCCCAACAAGATCCTGCACTTATCTGCACTGAATGCCATCCTGTTGTCCCCAGTCCACTTCCACAGTCTGTCCAGATCCTTTTGGATCTGGAGTACCTGCCCCACAGTTCTGGCTACCACCCCCATTTTAGTATCATCTGTGAATCTGATCAGCAGACTGGCCACCCCCTCTTCCAGGTCAAAAGAAAAGAAAGAGGATGTGCTGCTGCAGCTGCTAACAATGAGTCGTATGCTGAGAAAATAGTGGGAGTATTTCTCCAGCTCCTGAAAATATTACCCCCAGTTTCTCTACCCACAGTTAGAGAGGAGAACATTAGAGGCCATTTGCACAAAGCTCAACAAATCTGAAACTTGAGTATCTCTGTTTCCCTCTCTGAAGTTAGCACCACAGTGCTTCCAAATTTTCAAATATTATACAAGCTTATGTTTAAAATACACCTGTGACACATCTTATTTATGATAATAGAACACTATGATAAACCACAAAAAGCAGCAAAGACTCGTGGCATATTCTGCTCAAAAGGTTTCTCTTCATTTTTATTGCTTGCCCCTCACACTTAGCTTCTTGTGCAGATCTTATTCTACTCTCAATGATCTTCTGTTATTCATGGATTTTTTTTGAAACTTAGCAATTAAAAGGTAAGGGGTTGGATCTGTGTACATAGATTTGCAAAGAAGCAGTGGGATTAAGGTCTTTTTCTCAACTCTGTATGTTTATTTTACAACAGTTTTGCTGTAAAGAAAGGGCATGTGATCTCTGCAGATGCACATTCACAGTTTTCAGAACTGTAAAACCAAGAATCTGTGATATCTTCTAGACAGAAAAATGACCCAATTATCTTAAAGAAACATCTCGAAGAGCATGACCTTGTGAATGGATTAATGGAATACATTTACCCCCCAAAAATGTTGCATGAATATACAGCCTCATGCTACATAATTAAAAAATAATCCTTATTTCATGTTTCAATCAATCCTTTATTTCATTTCACCTTTGGACTATAATGTATTTTAAACAGAAAACTATCTTTACATAGATTTTTCCCTCAAAAAGCATGTTATGCTTAAAAAAATCAATTTTAATAAAAAATCTGATTTAAGTAAAAATCAATTTAAATTTAAAAATCTGATTTATCCACCCTGGAAATAAACAAACAGATTAAAGAAACAAAGCAGCAATGTTATTGGTTTTTAGATATTCTACAATATGGGGACTTAACAGTATATAAAAGAAAGAATGGATTTGTACAGGTATTGATACTGTACAGTATATTGGAAAGATATAATGGATAGACTTATTTTTTTCTATTGCAAACACACTTGATTTCCTGAAAGCAAATAAAACAGTAACTAAAATATTAGCCCATTCAAAACTGAAAAGGGTACTGTAACAGCTTGCCCAATATTCTTCTTACAGTCTAAGGGAGACTGACTGAACACAGGCCAATGGGTAGTAGAGTGAACAGGAAATCTGAGGGAGGGAGTTCCACAGTTTCAGTGCAATCACATAGCAGGTTCTGCCGCATTCTGACCCATCTAGCCACTGACACAGTAAAGATGCAGGAAAAAAGCCTCCTCCAGGAACGGGCAGGGTAATACAGTGAGCAGCAGTTCTTTAATCAGCAGATACTTACGCAATATAACTTTTAAGGCCAGCCCACACCATTTTTATTATTGGCAACCTATTTTGTTATATACCAGGGGCATCAGCATTATGTTCTCTTATGAACATAAGAGAAGCCAGGCTGGATCAGAAAATTGCCCATCCGGTGCAGCACTCTGTTGACACAGTGCCAAGTGGACCCGCTGCCCAAAGGAGCCCTCAGGCCAGATGGGTCCAACAGTTCCCTTCTGCCCAGCCTCCCAAGCAACCCGTGTACACAGGCATACTGCCTTTAGCATGGGAGGCAGCACATCCCGACTAGCAGCACGCAATAGCTTTTCCTCCATGCATTTGTCCAGTCCCCTCCTAAGGCCATACAAATTGCGACCACTACAACCCTTTCTTGATCCATCACTGCTAGTGCAGATCCCATCAGCATACAGCTAAAGCTGGGATTTTTTGCCCCAATCTGCATCATTATTTTAAATCTTGCGTTATACTAAACAAAAAAGGACACAAAATCTAGCACCCAGTTACAAGCACGATACTGTTTCAAATACCTTAAGGGAAAACAGAAAAAAGGAGAATGCTACCTGGAATGAGAGACCAGGAGCAAAACTTGAATATATCTGTAGGAAATGACACAATGATTAAATATGTGTATGCTAAGTTTCCTGATAAGGTAACCTAACTTCAAAGCCAGGCAATCAGCAGATCTTAAAATTCACATTTACATTTAAGAGCAGTGATGAGGCTTTGCCCCCACCTACCTTCAGCAACTGTTTTAAGCAAACAAAGTTATCTCTCTTAGCCAGATTAAATGCCAAATTGTGAGATCAGCATACATGAATTCTTAAACAAAGGAATATCAAAGGCTGGCATCAGCATAAAACCTGTGTAACTACAATTTAGCAAGAGATTCTTGTAACCAGAGGTATGAATAAGGATCTGTTTGGGTTTCTGTTTTAATCACACTACACAAGGTAGTTGGCTCACTGTTGCAATCATTGTCTGTGTTATCACCCATAACAATGGAAACAAGATCAGCACTGTCTGCACTTTCTACGCATATTCATGGATTTCTAGGACTTCAGGGGATTACCCATCCCAGATGTTTTACAGGGCTGTTCTTTCTCCCATGTTGATCTAGCTGCTTATAATTTTATTTTTAAATTTTTGCATTTTGGAAAGATTTTATGGTATGTTTTGTTTTTACTATTGTCAGTAAAAGAGAGTACTAGCTATTGGGCAATATAGAAAATGAGATAAATAACTTTTTTTTTGTATTTTAATTCTCTCTGGCAATACAGTTTACATCTCCATAGATACATCCTCCCAGTACATGTATATAAATCTGAAGATTTGGGGTTCATACTTCATGCCTATGAGAAAGAAAGCAGTTCACACAAAAGCTTATGGCAGAATAAATGGGTTAGTTTTTTAGAAGGTACAAAATTCCTCCCTGTTATTGCTGCAGCATATTAAGACACCTCCCTGCCCCCTAGAAATAATAAAATTGTATAATGTTGCTATTTCCAATGGGAGACAAGCCTAGCTCATAGGAATTTATGTAAAAATAATACCTAAAATTAGACATGAATGCTGTTTGATGGAAGCCAAAGGTAAATAATTCCCAGTTGGGGAAAAAATAAATCCC